ATTGTACATCATAAAACTGTTGAAGTTACAGCTAACTCTGTACAACTGTTTACATGTTTAGTGTTTTTTTAACAAATTTAAAATGGCAACCGCAGCTGCCAGTTTTTTTTCGTAAAAACTACAGAATTTTTTTTACAGTGTAGCCAGTAGCACTCATTTTAACTGAATCAAAGAATGTACAGTGAATCCATTTGATCGGCAGCAAAATAAATAAATAAATAAATAAACCTGATCGGAACATCCCTAGTTTGGAGTCATGACAAAGTTCCTCTGAGTTTTATTCCTCAGTCTTCTGATTTCAATCTGACACCTTTTCAGGTTTCACATCCTGCATTTGGAGAAATATTTTATGAAATTATATAAACATGATGGGGGGGGGGGGGGGGGGAAGCAAATAAGGTCTCACATCAGCTTCAAATGGCAGAACTGATGAGTCTGTATCCGCACGAACTGAACACTCTGCAGCGCTCGTACTTCAGAAGATCCAAACGCCGATCCCAGAGATCCCAGAGTTCCCAGAGTTCCCAGAGTCGAGGGTTCTGGTGCTTCATCCAACACTAAACTGTTGTTGCATTTTGTTTCTGCGCTGGACAAACCAACATCTTTTTTAATGTTTTGAGAACTGGAGGCAGTGTTTCCCCTGCTGTTATACAAGGAGGGCACCACGCCCTGTCAACAGAACTGAAACCCCCCCCACACACACACCAACACCACCACCACCACCGTCGACAACTGCTGGCACACAGCGCTAAGCTAGCTGCCCACAATACAAATGTGCTAGCTAAAAAGCTACAGAGGTAGCACTCCATCTCCCTCACGCTGAGACACCTCCCCATCAACAAAAATCTCAGAAGAGTCATGAGCGACTTGCCAAGACAAGTAACCTAGAGGAAACACTGTAGAGATGGTTATTATTTATAGTCATTTGCATCACATAAAAAGTAGCAATATTAAACCTTCAGTTAAACATAATGTGACAAAAATATAATTTCCTTCTGGAAGTCAGAAAGGTCACCGTTTTGTGCTGCTTAGATATTAAACATTTTCAAAAGGTTCACTAATCACATGTTAAAATAGTCGAAGTATTGTGGGCATTTCAAATTCTTCTCAAATGCTTCGTAAATTAGTTTCTTCAAATGAAAAGTTGGAGAAACATCTGAAAACTGCACTAAGAGGAAGGGATTGTCACAGTTTGGAGGTGAATATGATCTCATGTCATATCAGACATATGACAGAAGAGTGCTGAACTTAGAAGAAGGTCCAGATTTCTGAACCGTCGTCCCACCGCTGCACAACAGTCGCACAATATTTGAACGAAAGTTGCGCTGAACAAACAAACGATCAGTGTTTAGTTGCACAACTATCGCAGAACATTCTTGGAACATTCGTGCAACAAAATTGTGATTTTTCTTTTCATCGCAAATTTTGACCAGAGTGAGTCCATGAGACATTTGTGCAACGTGAGCAAACATATCGAGTACAGATTCAGAGACCGCAACTGAAAACTGGTGAATCACAATCTTTAATCAATAGGCTTCATGAAAAGGACCGATCAGAAGACAGAGGGGGCCCTCTAAGAGCGACAGCTCTTTATTTCTGACTAAAGGCTGTCGGAGGAGACGAATGTCCGACACCTGGAAAATTAAGATGCAACAAAACGAGCGCACCTTCAAGCACGCAGGACCAAGTCCCCCCCACCATGTAAACAACGGGAACATTTGCCTAAGAAAAATAAAAACACACCTCAGATAATAATTCCCTTTTCCCTCACAGCTCTCACCTCCAAATGTTCACTTTTCCACTAATGTTAAGTTTGTTGTCATTTAATTGACACCATGGTTGTGTTCTGGTTGGGCAGGTGGGTCTTTTGTATCGATGGTACAGCCTCTGGTTCTAAAAGAACATGTCAGAGCCAAGAAACAGGAGATTTCAGCTTCACTTTTGTACAACAGAAGTAGATGGACCTGTCGTCCATCGTTACTCACGACCTTTGTTTCAAACAGAACATTAAAAAAAAGAAGAGTCTACATGAAACTACCGCTCTTTCCCTGGTAGGACCATCATTTAGCTGGGGACCGCTGCAACCACAGAATCAAACTCTAGTTCTGATAAGAGCAGCTAAAAGTCTTCTTTAAAGTCTGTCTACATGGATGAAGAGGATAAATCCACACCTCCACAACTATCGGCTCATTGCCAACAGTGGAGACGTTCTTTGTAGTGCAAAAAGCAAAGATCTGTATATAAATACGACACCCTGTTCGATAAAATACACTCGCCTGAATGATACAACTTTAAATATCTTTTCTTTACCTTTATCCCCGTCACTCTGTGTCACCTTTTTTTTTATAAAGCACAATGTTTGATATGTGAACATCTTCAGTCACTCTGATAACAACAGATGTTTTGTTGGCATCGTTCATAAATAAACTCACTTCTCTGCAGCAGATGAACCGATTCCTGACAGCACAGTCAGCAGAGTTTTCTGTCTTGTACTGAGATAAATAAAAAATAAATAATAAATAAAATTAGAAGGATGAAAAGAATGACATCGAGGTGGGACCCCCCCCCCCCCCATATGGGTCAAAAACCACCAGGTTTGAAGATGATCTCTAAAAATAAAAATTAATTAATTAAAAAACACCAGTTATAAACTGGAAAAACTGGCGCATCGTATCAGTTTTATGTATTTTTGTTGTAATATACGGGTCATTCAGATATTTGTAGTTGTGAATTTTGGACATTTTCATTTTGGGGGGTTGAAAGTTAGAAAGTTTCTAATTATTTACATTATTAGGTAGTTCGGTCACATTGTTAGTGTTTTTTGCTGATATTACAAGAAGTCTTAGTATTTACTGATAAGTTTCATATGACAGCTGTCCGCTGTGAAACACGGCTGAAGCTGACCTGCTAACAGCTGCCATCACCTCTGGTCCAGATCACACCACTCTGGATATTTAGTTTCTAAACTGATACTTTTCTCTTTGTTTCGATTAAAACTTCGCCCACGCCATTCGAACAAATACGCAGGTGGGACCATTAGATGGAGAAAGAACGTTCTCGGCTTGGCTGAAGGTGGCATTTCACTGGGCTACGTCTGATGGAGACTAGATGGACTCAAACTTGTGATAAAATAGTTTGTGAGAGACAGCAGGCCTCTGCAGCTAACACCAGGAAACCTGCGAAGACGTTCTGGAGACGCTCGTGATGCTGTTCATTACTGGCAGTTGTTACCAGGGACAGCCCAGAAACAAACTACCATAAACATCCTGATGCTGCTCAGTAATCCAGGTAGAAAATCCAACAAGGGTAAGTCAGGTCCTCTGGAGGGTTCTTCTTGTTGAAACATTTCATTTTTTATCCAAAAGACTTCTTGAGTCTGAGGAGCCACACCAAACTCAGTTTTATAAACAGCACCTTCACATAGTGGGTCGGCCAGTCTGATCGTGCTCAGATGGATTCTGTAGTCCACCCTCTCTCCCACTGACTCGTTTGAGGCAGTCATGGCCAAAGTGGTAATAATCCTATAGAAACCACCTGAGCACCATCAAACTGGTGGACCCACTATGTGAAGATGCTTTTTATAAGACTGAGTTTATTGCAGCTCCTCGGACTGAAGAAGTCCTTTGGATAAAGGACTAAACGTTTCAACAAGAAGAAACCATCCAGAGGACCTGACTGAACTTTGCTGTGGTTAACCAGTTTGGTTTAGGAATCACGTGCCCAGCAGGTGGTGGATCCATGTGCAGGTGGCTTCATGCAGTCCTTAACTACTTTATGACCTTTGTGACTTGGACTGGGAAAGGCTCTCTTACTCTCTCAGACCCAGATGTACCCAGAAAACCTCCAGCAGGACATTTTCTAGGCTTGTCCTAGGAAGAAATCAAAGGAAGGATTATGTTTCTCCTCTGGCCTGGGAACGTCTTGGGAACCAGGAGGAGGAAGAACGTGCTACTGGGTAGAGGCGTGTCTGGGTTTACTTCCTGGGTTTGGGTACTTTCGCAACCCTACCATGGATAAATGGAAAAAAAAGATGAATGGCTGGACGTACACACACAAAAAAACGGAGCTTTTACAAATCTTTACGCTAAAAAGCATTTTTATAATGATCAGTTTTTCTCATGAAAATCACGAGTGTGACCAGAAGGTGCAAACGAAGCCAAAAATCTTTCTCTTTTTCTTCTAGATATCCAGAGTAGTGCAACTGGGGCATCACTCTGAGTAAAACAGAGAGAACCAGTGTTTATCAAAACCACGTTTTTATCTCGTACATGACACACGAGTCTCTCAAAAAACCATCTCCACCTTTGTTAAATGCTGCAAAGCTCCGAGAAAGGAGTCTAAACGTTCAAGTATCCCTCTGCAAAGATCCAGCCAACGTTAACTACGTCAGGCGTCAACAAGCAGGACGTTTCCCACACGGCAGCAAAACGACAAACAGATGAACATGAATGGATCCAGACGAGCAGCAGCACATGTCCCGACTCTGAACCAGCGTCACCGGAAAACCACGACAGATGACTAGTTGGCACAAAGGACGACGTAAAGTTTGGCCTCTGTTGGTTTCTCTACACTCCTACAGTTTTAAATATAAAAAATAAAATTATATGAAAATAAATTAGAACAGTTAAATAATGAAATCAAAACGAATATGTTTTACCTTGGTGCAGCCACACACAGTGAAAAACGACTTGTGGCATGATCACATCTACATCGTACTTATCCTTTTTTGAACGATCACTTCGCTACACAGAGGTGGACCGATGAAGGAGGGACGTTTCCTCCGAAGGCAGTGAGAATGGATGGGTTTTATTATGAAGGGCTATAAAAAGGACAAAGGGACGATGAAGACCACTGCACCAATCAGGAGGAAAACCTATATAAAAGGTAGACAGAAGACAGCGTGAGATCAGAGTAATACTCAGTTCATGGAGTCAAAGCAGTTATTTCATGTCGGTCTACCACAGTTGTCCCACAGTCCTCTCCCTCTGCATGTAGCGTGATGTTTGGAAGGATATGATTTTAAAGGACAGTTTCTGGCACACAAACATGGGAGGAGGCATCACCTCACCTCTTCTTAAAGAAACACTGGATAAGCATCGTAGTGAGCGTGTTGATGAAGACAAAGCAGGAGCCGAGACAACAGACGAGGAGAAGAGGTTCATTCGATGCCTTCATGTCTGCTTCAAAAAAAAAAAGACTGATGAATACAATCCGTTTTGTCCGTTAGAACCCCAGGAAGGAAAAAAGAAAGGAGAGATGGTTAAAGCTTCGTCAGGTCTCAGTTGTCCAGCGCCTCAGCACAGACCATGCTGCCGTAGAGCTGCTGTGGGTCTGGATGTCCTCGCTCCTCGGCCTCACTGTCTGTGCTTCCCTCGCTGTCCAGTCGTGCCGATGGGTGACAAGGGTCAGACAGTGGAGGGTACAGGGCGGTGGTGGGCAGCGGACTGTGGAGGAGGTCCTCATCAGAGCTGAGGTAGTCTACTTCACCCGAGGCGGGGCTGGTCAAGCACAGATCCTGGTAGTTGGTGCTTCCTCCACCACAGCTGACCCTGGAGCTGGGGGCTGCCTTCTGCCCCCGCAGCTGCCTGATCTGAGAACAGAGAAGGTTTTCACTTAATGGACCGGACATGTAGGCTGAGTACAGTTTAGCTGCATTTTCAGTGTTATGTTCTTGTGGTTCTATGGTGCACTGAGATACATGGCTGTAAGAAGATATTGTCACATCATCTCTTTGTGCAGCTGTTTGTATAATTTATGTAGCCTGACCTCCAGCAGCCACAATCATTAAAAATGCCAAAAATTCCATCATGAATGTAGTTAATCTAAAAAAAAAAAAGTCACATATGTCTCACATGTAGCTACACTAAAACAACAAAAGCTATGGTTACAGATCTGAGTGATGTGACTAGTATATACAGAGTTAATATGTCTCCTGTCTACTGATGTGTAAAGTCATTTATTGCAGTGGTGGACCGTCAGGGCCAACAAAGCCTTCTCTCCTAATCTAAACACAATCAGAATCACTATTTTACATTTTAGTATATTTTATCTATGTATTAATATTAGTCTGAAATGTCAGCGCTCTTCATCCCACAGCTTTTCTCCTGGTTGCGGGGCTTCCAGCAACATATGTTTATATAGAGCTTTTATCCAATCATATTTCAAAGTCAAAAGTCAAAGTTTCTTTATTTGTTGTTGGCACCATATATGGTACATTCAGTGGAACGAAACTGTGTATACAGGGTCCCAGTTACATCCAACAAAAGTATAAACTAAAGAAAAACAGTAGTAAGATCTAAGATATGAACTAAGACCATCATCGACTATCATCTTAAAAAATAGTTGATTCCCAGTTAAAATATTTCCTGGAGGATCACTCTATTTTGGAGATGTTCCATTCAGGCTTCAAATCTCTCCACAGCACACAGACTGCCCCGTTGAGAGTTTTTAATATCTTCCTAGCCACAGATGAAGGGGATTCTGTGTTTCTTGTCTTATTGAACTTTACATCTGCTTTTGACACCATCAACCATGAGATCCTCATTTCTAGACTGGAGCAGTGGGTGGGCATCACAGGGTCAGCCCTCAAATGGTTTAGATCCTACTACCTCTCCGAAAAAAACTTGTGTCAACATCAAGGATTTTATTTCAGCTTCGGCAGCTCTTCAATGGTGGGTACCGCAGGGGTCTCGTCTCGGTCTACTTCTCTTTTCTTTATACCTGCTGCCACTAGGTGCCAGTTTTTGTAAACACGGCACACCTTTTAATTTTTATGCCAATGACTGTCAAATTTACTTCCCTCTGAAGCATACTGGTGCACACGCAATCCAACCTCTTCTTGGCTACCTGGTTGACATCAGGGTTGGATGGCTGTAAATTTCTTACATTTTAATGAAAAGAAGATAGATGTCATGTTTCCATCTAATGCCACAATCAAGAACCACCGTATTGACCTTTCCTCTCTAGCCCCATTAAAGAAACAAGAAGTCATTAATCTAGGAGTGAAAATGGACCCTTCCATGAAGCTAAACAGTCATGTAAACAAATGTGACTGTTTACATTGAAGCCCATACTGTCCAAAACTAAGCTTAAGACAGTAATACATATTTTCATGAGATCAAGGTTTGATTACTGCAATACGCTTCATTTTGGAAACAGTTAGACCTCTATTGCACATTTACATCTGGTTCAAAATGCTGCAGCCCAATTTTTAACTGGTACAGGCAAGAGAGAACACATTACTCCAGTTATGGCTTCCCTTCACTGGCTCTGGGTTCACTTCCGAATTCATTTTAAAATCCTTCTGTGTTTTTAAATCTTTGAACAGTTCTGCCCCCTCCTATCTCGCTGATCTGCTGCTGCCATATGTCCCACGGCGCTCTCTGAGGTCAGCAGACCAGATGTTTTTATTGGTTCCAGGCACTCGTTTTAAGCTCAGAGGTGACGGGTCCTTCTCTGTTGCAGGTCCAAGACTGTGGAATGAGTTACCACTGCATGTCAGGCAGGCTCCCACTCACTGTTTTTAAAGCTCGCTTAAAAACTCATTTTAATTCCCTGGCTTTTGACACTGTGTGAGTTGATTTTAATTTGTCTGTTTTCTAAAGTGTTAGTAATTTAGTTCTTATCTTTACCTCTGAGGATCTATATATTGTTTGCTATGTCCTTTGATTGTTTTGTTTTGCTGTACAGCACATTGGTTGGCCTTGCTGCTGTTTGTTAGTGCTTTATAAATAAAGTGGTAATAATATGGTATCATCTGTTGCAATAGGGTCAAATAAATCTGCCCTGAGGCCTTCAGAATCACCAGTGCAGACACCTGTAACACTAAACAAATGTCGATGAAACTTGCTTTGACCAGTCAGATGTTGAGTTAGTAACACTGAGGCCTGAACGCCACGATGACCTGAAAGACAGAGAAACTGAATGCCGTGATGACCTGTAGGACAGAGAAACAGAAAACTTTGATGACCTGTAGGACAGAGGAACTGAACACCTTGATGACCTGCAGGGCAGAGGAACTGAACATCTTGATGACCTGTAGGAGAGGAACTGAACGCCATGATGACCTGTAGGACAGAGGAACTGAACACCATGATGACCTGTAGGACAGAGGACCTGAACACCATGATGACCTGTAGGACAGAGGACCTGAACACCTTGATGACCTGTAGGACAGAGGACCTGAACACCACGATGACCTGAAGGACAGAGGAACTGAACACCACGATGACCTGAAGGACAGAGGAACTGAACACTATGATGACCTGTAGGACAGAGGAACTGAACACTATGATGACCTGTAGGACAGAGGAACTGAACACCATAATACCATACCATACCAATTTATTTATAGAGCACTTAAAACAGCAACAAGGCCAACCAAAGTGCTGTACAAAAGAAAACAAACATGCACAGCGGACAGGAAAACACAAAATAAAAATACAGATACAAATAGCAACAGAAGCTAACTAAAATGGCCAACAGTGTAGAGTACAGACAGGACCAAAACAAATCACACCGTGTTAAGGGCAAGAGAATAGAAGTGGGTCTTCAAGCGAGACTTAAAGACTGAGAGTGTGGGAGCCTGCCGAACACTCAGTGGCAACTCATTCCACAGTCGTGGACCTGCAACAGAGAAAGCCTCGTCACCTCTGAGCTTACGACGGGTTTCTGGGACTGAGAAAAGCATCTGGTCTGCTGACCTCAGAGAGCGCAGTGGGACATATGGCTGCAGAAGATCAGTGAGATAGGATGGGGCGGAACTGGTCAGTGATTTAACAACATACATGAGAATTTTGAATTGGATCCGAAGGTGAATGGGTAGCCAGTGCAGGGAGGCCAAAACTGGCGTGATGTGCTCTCTATAGCCTGTACCAGTTAAAAATCGGGCTGCAGCATTTTGGACCAGTTGTAGACGAGCAATGGAGGACTGACTGATTCCAAACAGAAGTGAATTGCAGTAATCAAGTCTAGATGTTATGAAGGCGTGGATCACTGTCAGAGGAACTGAATGCCATAATGACCTGTAGGACAGAGGAACTCTCGCCATAATGACCTGTAGGACAGAGGACCTGAACACCTTGATGACCTGTAGGAGAGAGGAACTGAATGCCATAACGACCTGTAGGACAGAGGAACTGAACACCATGATGACCTGTAGGACAGAGGAACTGAATGCCATAATGACCTGTAGGACAGAGGAACTGAACACCATGATGACATGTAGGACAGAGGAACTGAACGCCATAATGACCTGTAGGACATAGGAACTGAACACCATGATGACCTGTAGGACAGAGGAACTGAACGCCATAATGACCTGTAGGAAAGAGGAACTCTCGCCATAATGACCTGTAGGACAGAGGAACTGAACACCTTGATGACCTGTAGGACAGAGGAACTGAACACCTTGATGACCTGTAGGAGAGGAACTGAACACCATGATGACCTGTAATACAGAGGACCTGAACACCTTGATGACCTGTAGGACAGAGGACCTGAACACCATAATGACCTGTAGGACAGAGGACCTGAACACCTTGATGACCTGTAGGAGAGAGGAACTGAACACCATAATGACCTGTAAGACAGAGGAACTGAACACCATGATGACCTGTAGGACAGAGGAACTGAACATCATGATGACCTGTAGGACATAGGAACTGAACACCATGATGACCTGTAGGACAGAGGAACTGAACACCTTGATGACCTGTAGGACAGAGGAACTTAACACCATGATGACTTGTAGCACAGAGGACCTGAACACCTTGATGACCTGTAGGACAGAGGACCTGAACACCTTGATGACCTGTAGGACAGAGGAAGTGAATGGCATGTAGGCAGAGGTGATAGTCTGTCGGACATAAGACATTTTTTCTTACATTATAACTTTCTCTCCTTTCATCTAAATATATATGCAATAACTAAGTTACTAACATAACTTTTACAAAATGCACATAATTTCTTCATGCTTTGACCCATGTAAAGACTCCCCCATTTCCATACAAAGTAAAATACAGAAGAGTGGGATAGCAGCTGAATGGTTGTGGATTTATCCAGCTCCAACAAACTCCAGTAAAAACACAATGAAGATAAAGTTATTCTGATTGCTTTAAAGTGATTTTTGTAAACATGTTAAATTAAGTTGATTAGCTTCAGGTGCTAGAAACTTTTTTAATGGATTATTGTGTGTGAACCCCTCCCCCATGAAAACCACTGATGTCTGTAACTCTTCAGAGGTTGTGCAGACCATGGGATCGTCACACTGAAATCAGAGGGCCACCTCAGGATGATCTTTTTAATAGCTCCAAACCTATTAAAACACCTTATTAAACTGATAAAAACCTTTTTATAGAATCTGTATTTCCATCAGAGTTGCAGCTGTCCAGCTGTGAGGTGCTCGTCAGCCAGACTGCATGTTCACATGCATGCTGTCTGCATGTAAACCTTGCACAGACCAGTGACTCATGACAAATCTCAGAGGTTTTTGTTTCCCCCCTATCAAACACTAAAAGTAGTTGCAAGTGTGGGGAGGAAGAATAAGTGGTTAACCAGTGGAAAAGTTTTGACTCACAGCTCTTCAACCTA